AGCATATGGGCTGATGTGAGATTCAAAAGTCCTCGTTTCAGTTCTCTAGGAGGCCTGCAGATACATATTGGTATAAAACATTATATTAAAACCAAATTAATCCACATTATTCCCTCATTTATTACATATTTAATAGGAATTAATTACAGTTGGTTTTGAACCATGAAAGTTTATTTATTATTGTTGATCATAAAGAATCCTAAATAGTTAAGAATGAATAAAATAACGTATTCTAACATGAATTCTTAAATTTGTCTTTTTTCATCTTATCGATAATGATCTCAGTTACACTTTAACTTACGTAGTATACTCACGGACAAGTTTACTCCCATCTAGTGTGTTGTAGTAGCTTAAAATCTGATTCCTTTTTGATCAAATGAACACAAAACATCTTTCTGAGAACAATATACAGTCATGATTAGGCAGAGATCAATCTCAGATGCACAGTCTTGTCATGTTTTAATTTACGGGACTATTTATCAACCTGTATAGACCTGTTCGTTATGCTTCTCGATTCTTGTGTTTAACATGACAAACGAAAATTTTATGGTTGAAATCATGAGTCAATTGAAGCTAGACCACCATGAAAAACTTGCAAGCATTGCACGGCCATTTCGTCCCATTGTGGGACTCCTCAACTGTGCGCATCCACGATCACGCCTCATGAGATTTAAACCCAGGACCGGTCAGTCTCGCACGCGAGCGCTTTGTATTTAGAACACTGAGCCGACATCCAACGGTATTAATGTCTATCTTCAACCAATCGACGAAGGTGAGCAAGCATTCACTAGGTCGACAATGACGGGCACCGGCCCCGAAGGCACGGTGGAACCAGCACCAACTCGGACTCGCTTCCGAAGCCGCCTTCTGACGTGGCTTGGATGATGCCCGCTTGAGGCGAGTCGTTACGGCTCTACAGGATCTTGACCTGTGTCGAGGGACGAAGGGGTCTGGCAGAGCCGTAAGCGTTGGTTGAATGCTCGCTGGTAAGGCTTCGAGCCACAGCTCTTTGACTATCTCGGAGTCAGCTGCTGTGTTTCCTGCAAGAGATCGCAGGCACGTGAAGTGGTTGCTCGGATTAGCATCACTCATAGGGTGACGTGCTAATAGGGTCCTGTTATGCCTGAAACTAAATCGATTCCGCGGTAACGAACGAAAGCCAATGACACAATGACACGATAAGCTTTTCTAATCGGTTGTCCCAGGCCCCGCTAACTAGATGAAGAAGTCCAAGGCAAGTAGGGGAATATATATGTATTCCGTAAGCAGCCGAGTACAAGCAATCCAATAAGGGGAAAAGTCAAGCGCATTTATACAGCAACAAATTGTCCTTGAGCATTATTAGTAAATAGCACACACAAAGAAACAACGGACCAATAGCGTTTAAGATAGTTTACAAGTGGGAAAATGACGTGAAGGTAAAAAGAGCGCTTTTGGCGCGAAAACAGCTAAATTCAAATTTTCAAAATAAAATTACAAGATTAAGCCATTTACCAAGTAAGTTCTGGGGATTTGACATCCCCAACAGGTCCTCAATCGTTCCTCTCTTGAGGGGAGGAAATATCGAAGGATTGCATCATTGAGACGGTCGTAAACGTTTGAAACGTTTGGATTGAGGACAATCTCACGAACAGCGGTTAAATGATCCCCAGGCAATTACTCCAGAGCGTAGGCGTACTTTTGCCTTTGATTGGTTATGCGGCTGATCTCGAATGGATATTCCAGTGCCGCGAACCAGACTTCTGGATCATGAGGCATAAATGGAACCGGTCGGAAACTAATAGCCTGTTCCTCAGAGTCTATTATATTATTGCTATTCTTATCGTTATCCACCATATTAAGTTGCAAAAATATTATATATTGAAAGATATCAATACGAATATGTGCAACAGATGTGGATAGATAAATAGACTCACCGAATTGATCCGGGTTGAAAAGTTGGCCAAGTTTGAATTGTGCTCGATGAATTGGGTTACCAGTTGTGGTTCACCAGATGTATTGTGTGTTCCAAATACGGCTCGCCATATGTAGTAGGGTCAAGTCGAGGACGGACTATGATCACTATTACTATACGATTACGTGCCCAGAAACGATTTGGTTCCTATGATAACGCGGAAAACAGAAGGCTTTAATTAATCGAAATCAATTATATTTATTGGCGATCTCGTGGTATCGATAGAATACCGAGACGTGCCAACGGGTACAGGCAAAATGGGCAGAGTGTAAGAAAGTTCGAACCGAACAGGGCGGATAGCGGAACAAGAAGTGAGTCTGATACAGTTAAACAAATACAGTAAAACAATCTGTGGTACAATTGGTTACAATAATAATAATTGTTTCTGTTATTCCAATAGTGCTCTTATCGAGACCAGCCGGTCACTACAACTTGATCCAATCAATCCTCAGTCAAAATAAGTTCTTAAGGCAGCAAGGAAACATTGAAATGATTTCATAGCTGTCAAGCTGTTCGGCAAAAGTTTTCGAGTTTTAGCAGTTATGTGTATTTTTTTGTAACCTTAGGAAATGTGTACTTATATATGTCTAGAATATCTTTACTGCCATGATTGAATCTATCCTTTCTGTATATCATGCTCCGTAAATATCCATAAAAAATGCATGCAGGCAAAGGTCTGTCGACTCTTCAATGTAACTCAAGCACACACTATAAAGTAGATCCAGTTCTATGTCTCAGAACAAACGTTCAAACATAATAGACGCGGTTGACTTAATAACTGCGCAACGTGTTGTGATCGTTAAGTCGTCGTAACACTCTCTGGGTCCTATCCTACGAAGTTTTAGTTTAAACCTTCAAGTTCTAATAGTCTCGCTTGTTAATGTTAATTGTCGTCGATCTTATACATCACTAAAAGTGAGTGTATTCTATGTGCTCACTGAATTGACGGTCCTAGAGAGAGTTTTAAGGCCAAATAAAGTGTGACCAGACTGATTAGGTCTCATAATTTTGTTGTGAGAATATGGTCACTGTTGTTCCTCTTAATTTATACCTAAGCATTGTAAAGACTGATAAATATTTCACATGGGTTTGTGCGTTTAACCTAGAAGAATGCATCTACGTTTATTTGGCCGGGAAGATAATTTCAAAACAATTGATAGATCTTGTGCAAACTAAAACGTCACGATAGAATGATTCAGTACTATGAATCATCAGTTGGCGCGTGGATTAGTCTGTACAAGTTGCCGTGCGACACCACCGTATGTATCCACATTTTTACAATCCTAGGGTGAGACTAAAATGTATGGACGGCCTTTAAACGACGCTGAAATGACCCTGAGAATGTTCACCTACTTACTGAGGTTAGATGAGGGTTATAAATTAGTGTGAGGGATTAGGATTTACAGTTGAACGCTAGGCTTAGAAACTAGATTTAGTGTTTTCATCATGAACTGACATCGGCCATAATGCTAAAATGGTATCTAATCAAATGAGTGAATCAATTTCGTTCCGAAATCCAAAATCTGCCATTTTAAATCTGGTTGCCTCGCTCATAAATTATAGTCTCGCCGATCCTAGCAGCAAGTTCTCAATGTTCTGTGTACTCATTTAGTAAAGTGACAAAAATCGTTTATAGAACCGCCCTAAGTCATATTCCTTGTACAACTGCAACGGAAAACAACCTGTTGCATGACTCCGTTTCCAGTCCTAGTCACATTTTCTATATCTCTGTCTGAGACCAACCGTAATGTAATCTCCCGTAACCAGTTTAAGAATTCATCTCTATCTGCATATTGGTGATTTTTTTTTCAGAATGGAGCAAGTTGCTTCACGATATACGTGCTTTCCTCTCCCTACCCACTTAGCTATGCAACTAGCTATCCAGTTAATAATCTCTTTGGAGTGCAGATCACCAACTGATGTTTACAGTAATTGATGAACTTAAGCGGCGATAGAAATAAAGAAGAATAGGTGTAGAATGCAATAATAGAGACTATAATAATAGGTCGCATTATTCGAAGTATGCTCGCCAGTGTTGATCATCAACGTAAATGACTTGTGTCGAATAGTTGGGGTCAATTAGCGTTAAAGCCACACGTTACGGTTAGTGCCTAACGTGGATTACCGATTCGTCGTATCCACGTACTGTTGCTATCTTGATGACCACGCGGCCTAAATCACGTTATTACAAAAATATATTAGTAAGAGTAGGTAAAAGGAAGAGAGTGCGATCACCAACACATGGGCCAGTCCATGAAGTGCAATTAACTGGCGCGTGTTAATTGTCGTTGACCTTAACGAGGACTGGTGAACTGCTCGATACTCAGCGACCCGACTGCCGGATCATTCGGCTAGGGCTCAGTTACATTTTACTGGCTCTACTAGAATAATGTCCTTATGAATTATGATTTATAGTAATTGGCTGATTAACTGTGAGGTATTTAGTTCTCTGAGTTGATCCTTGCACCAAACCGTGCCTTCAAAGCTATGAAGATATCAAAATACTACTCTGTGGTTGTTTTATGTAGCTCACCTGTTAATAGGCTTTTGGGATATTTATTTAAAAGTACCTCTTACAGATAGTTGAGAATTAAAACCATTTAACTCACGACTTAAATTGTGATTCTCCTGTCATTTCCCAGTTTCTGTCCGCAATGGTCGATTTATATACTCACGGCCTTTATCGAACTTTTTATAGAGTGTTATTTCAACCAGTTTCACGAATTGCTGAAAAATGATAGTACAGCTACTTCTATAGGGTTTGATACGATGGTGACACGACACAATCCAGAAAAACCAAACTCAGGGAATTCTATCGCAAACAAATTTTGTTCGGGTGATAAGCCGAAACCCTCAATCGGAAAAAAGTAGGTGTGCTACTCTAGTTACTGTTTCATGAAAATAGTTTGTATGATGTAGTTTCGACTCCGGAATTAATAGATGAATTACATTTAAAAACAATCTTGGTGTTTGAAAACGAGTTGTGAAGATTTGTGCACATACATACGTTTCAACTATTTTATTGTAGGTTTTGGGGAATTAATTGATGGTCGCTGATCGAACAGCTCATGTTATTGTTCTGGGTGATCTCTCACGATCGCCAAGAATATTGTCCCAAGCTCAGTTTTTGGCTCGTGATGGTTGGGATGTAACTATATCAGGATACAAAACTGAAACAATAAACCCATCCAATTTTAAGTTGAAAGTCCTGGGTATACCTATGTGTCCGAATTTCAGAGCTCTACATTTCCCTTCGTTTATGGTTTTTATCCTCAAGGTTTGTTTAATTTTCCTTTAAACGTGTTAACTTTAGTTTATTTTTACGGCTGTAACACTCTTCTGTCATCTTGCCAGATACTGCCGTAGTCGTTTAATTGTGGTTCAGAATCCTCCTGCAGTACCAACTTTTTTCATTTTGTGGTTATTTATCAAGATTACTGGCAAGAATTTAGTTATTGACTGGCACAACTATGGTTATACTCTTGTAGAGTTAAATGCGCCTAGTAAAAGTTTATTCACGCGGTTAGCAAACCTATTTAATTTATATCCTTAATAATATTTGTAGGTTGTACTACATATTGGAAGTTGATTTTGCAAGTCGTTTTATGTCCAGAATGTCCGATCGTGTTGCGAATGTTTGCGTATCCAAAGCTTTAAAATATGATATGAGAATGAAATCAATTGAAGCAACTGTTTATTATGATCGACCTGCAGAGGAATTCAAACCTACACCTGTAGATGTTGCGCACTGTCTGTTCTTGAAGTAAGATCATTCAGTTCTCTTTTCCGATTAATCAGTAGTCAGTACCCATTATGTTTTTAAATAGTAATCTATAATTAGTAACATTTTTCGGCAAATATTTAATTGAGGTTATTTTGTAGCTTTATTTCTGTCATATATGTAAAGATTATGCTAGATTATTCACTAGCTATCAAAATATAAACTTACCTCTCTGGAAATATTAATCTTATTTGGAAATTTTATGGCTGCTAATTTTAAAAACCCCTCTTCACATATTAACTGGAGACTCCTAATAGACCCATTAGAGCGACGACGAGGTCAAAAGCTAATTCCATGGACAATCGAGGTCACACTTAGGCCTTTCTGAAAACGAGTGTGGCCCAGATGTTGCTGGGAAAGATAGATAATCAACTGTGGAAACAGCAGCGACATCCGCTGGTAATTTGAATCAAAGGGTTGAGAAAAACCAGTGGATTTATGTCACACCTGTTTCACTGATGGACTCTCCTAAACTTATCTCATCAGGCTCTAAACACGATGATGAGCGAAAACAAATCAAATTTAGGTTAACCAGAAGTCTAAGAAATGATCGTGAGCAGTGATGGGCAACAAACGCAAAAGATATTAAAAAAATGCAGCATCTGCATGTAACACAAGATAGCTTTACTAATAGAAGAAACTGGAATTAAGAAGTCAAGTGTAAGTGAGACAGTCGCTGACAAAGACGACACTCGTCTGCTCTCAGTTCAGACGTGTAGAACGATGGGCGAATCACTTATAGGAGCAGTTCAAATGGCCTTCTGGTACTCTACAACTACCCACCATATCCAAACATCGTGAGTGGAACATTAAAGAAGGTCCCTCGACTCTGACTGAAGGTCAAAAAGCTGTAGCTAATCTGAAATGAGGAAGATCAGCTGGTCTATATGGATTGGCTCCAGAGGTCCTTAGGGATTGTGGTCTAGTTTTAGTGAATAGGTTGACTGATATTTTAATTAAAATCTGCTAACTGAATTTAATCCCATCTGATTGGTCGTAATCACTGGTTGCCCCGATACATAAGAAGGGGTCAAAACATCCTGTGATAACCATAAAGGGATTAGTTTAACTAATATAGCGTCTAAAATACTAGCCTTAATAATTATCGGATGCCTAACAAAGACTCGTGAACTGTGAACACCAGAAAATCAGGCTGGTTTCACACCTGGTCGTAGATGCACCGATCACATATTTTCTATTCGTCAGATCTTAGGACACAGGTATACTTATCGACTTTCGACAATCGTGGTCTTTCTTGACTTGAAAGCAGTATTTGGCTCTGTATATTGAGAGGTTCTGTGACAGTGTTTGTCATTGGAAGGCGTATATCAGAAGTTGTTATAAATTTGTTTTGATAATAAACGACCCAGCTATTCCTATTGCTTAGTATCCTTATACGATGACACTCGACAAGACCCCAAAATCAGAACACGTTGAACAGGAATCACTGATTTGAATAACGTTCATATATTTATAGTATATACAAAAGAAGCTTCTACTTTTTTCTTCAATAATATGCCCGGGCTGATCGGTTTAGAATTAGCCAATCAGCGCGCAGCAACACCATCATGCATGAAACATGATTTAATCCAATATATGTCCCGCTAACACCTCCCCCTTGAGCAGATTCGTACGATCTAGTGCTAGGGTCCAACTGCAACCGAGTGACTGGCCTGCGCTTTCGATCTGTCCATCGTGTAGGCAATAAGGAAGTTGTGTCACTCTTTGCTTGCACAAAAACTGACTTGTCTGTTCCGGGCGTTTTAATTTCAAAGTTGTCTAGCAGAACGTCAAGAGGTATTCGATGTCAATTCTCGCTGCTGGCTATCGAAGTTGCTTTCAGTTGGTTAGCATGACGTATCCAAACTTCTGAGCCAACTGACACCTCATAAATCACATTCCCTTTCTTTCTCATGATCCGACCAGCTGTCCACGTAGGATGTTTACCACGATAGTCCATAGCAAGTACCTTTTGACCCGCCGTGAACAATCGTCTTTGTGCCCCATGGTGTCGATTGAACTGCTTCTCCATCAATAAGTTCCGTTGGGGCTCACGAGCTGGCGTCGAACGGATGACATCGAAATGTGTCCTTATTTTTCTGCCAAGTAACGCTTCCCCATTTGTTGTTTGAGGGTTCGGTGTAGAACGGTAGATAAACAGGAACCTCTCTAAGATCTCATTGGTGGTACCCTCCTCTCTTGATTTTTTTAGAGCATTTTTGAACGTACCAACAAAACGTTCTACCTAGCCATTCGATTGCGGATGGAATGGAGGTGTTCGGATGTGCCTGATTCCGTTCTGCTGACAAAATTCTGAAAAGATGGATGATGTAAATTGTGTGCCGTTGTCGCTGACTACTTGTTCTGGAACCCCAAAACGACTGAATAGTTGCCGCAGTTTTCTAAATGTGCAGCTTGCTGTTGGATGTTCCATGATGAAAATTTCCGGCCACTTGCTGTATGCGTCCACTACAAGAAGGTAAGTTTGTCCATGGAACGGACCAGCGAAGTCTAAATTTATACACTGCCACGGTGACTGTGGTATCGGCCATGATTGCAACTCTGCTTTTCGTGGTGCTTTTGCTGCCAATGCACATTTTGTACACGAACGGGATAGCTACTCGAGTTGGGTATCTAATTGTGGCCAGTATACATAACTTCGTGCTAGAGCTTTCATGCGGTTTATTCCAGGATGTCCTGCATGCAGCTGTTCGAGGACTACCGGTTGCAACTTCTTTGGGATTATGACACGTTCAGCAAAAATGAGACAATCGTCGATGATTGAAAGAGATAATCTGCGCTGATAAAACTGCTGAAGCTCTGTTGAACTGATCTTCGAGGGCCACCCTTCTAGGTGGAACTTTCTGACTTCTTGTAGAACGGGGTCTCGAAGAGTCTCTTTTCTGGCTTCATCTGACGACACTTTAGTGTTTCGGAATGCCGCTGCTACTACACTCCGTATTTCTGGATCAACTGATATCAAGGCAATGATCATATCCTCCGGTCCAGGATGTTGAACTCCAATAAGTCGTGAGAGGGCATCGGCTTGACCGATTGTATTGGTTGATTGATACTTATGTTAAAGTCGTAGCTCAAAAGCATTATTGCCCAGCGCTGTAGTCTGTTAGCTGTGTAGACAGGAATCCCTTTCTTGGAACCGAATATTGCAATCAATGGTTTGTGGTCTGTCAACAGAGTGAACTTACGGCCGTAAAGCATTTTATGAAATCTTTTGACAGCAAAAATGATTGCCAGAGCTTCCTTTTCGATTTGACTGTAGTTGCGTTCGGCTGGGGTAAGTGATCTGGCAGCATGGGTGATTGTCTTCTCTGTTTTGTCTGGAAACACGTGTAATATAACTGCTCCAACTCCGTGACTAGATGCATCAGATGCGACAACAATTTCCAAGCTGGGATCGAAGTGTGTCAAGAGAAGCTTTGAGGTGAGCATTGACGTGACTTTGTCAAAGGATGTTTGACATTCTGCTGACCACTACCAAGGTTTATCTTTCGATAGTAATTCATTCAGAGGGCCTCTCACTCGATGCATTTCAGGCAAAAATGTGCTGTAGTGACTAACTAATCCCAAGAATGACCTTAATGAAGGGACGTCAGTTGGTACGGGCATTTTCTGAACGGCTTCTATATTGGCAGGGTCTGGTCGTCGGCCGTTCTTATTTAGGATGAATGAGTTGGAAGAGCTTCTGGCAGTTACCAGATGCAGCTGCCGCTTCCATCTCATTAGCACGCTCCGACCACCAGACTTCTCGGTCCTTACGGAAGCTTTGCCCGATTTCATTACGTAACAGCCTTCGTTTGTGGTCAAACTCACGGTCACCCGGAGTAGACAGACGGGCTTCCATCAGTTGTAAGGAGCCAGAAGAAACCCAGTGCTTGTAAGCGGGACGCTTCGCGAAGCCGCAAGCGGCTTTACTCGCCATTTTCATGGCGTCGTGAAGAAGCAACCAATGCCCATCTATACTTTTCGGTGGGGTGGTAGCTAGCTCCGCTCGATACTTACTTGCAACAGAAGTTGCAGCCAGTTTACTAACATCGATCCGTTGGTGGTGGTCAATCTTTCGGCCACTGAAAAGTAAGGTGAGATTGGCGCATACCAGGGCATGATCAGACTCCAGATAGGTACTCCAAAAAGGAGCGGCAGTCTTGTACACAACCACGCCAGCGGTAGCTGATCGCGATGTGATCAATCTGAGTCCAGGCTTGGGATGCAGAGGGAGGACGCCAGGTGGCACACCGGCGATGACTGTGCCGGAAGTTAGTGCTGGCCAGAAACAGGTTGTGGTTTGTGCACAGTCGCAGCAAACGGTCCCCGTTATCTGTCCTGCGACTAACAAGTCCCCATCGGCCACCTAAACGACTCTCTTCTGTGCCTAGACGCCTGACCTGTGCATTCAAGTCTCCGGCTAGTACTACAATATCTGTCGAACGCGCTTTCTGGAGTACTGTTAACTGGTGGTAAAACTCATCCTTGATTGCATCCGGGCTGCAATCTGTCGGGGCATAGGCGGAGATGACGAAAAGACACCGTTTCTCACGCCGATTTCTTCTCACTTTGATGGAACTTTTTAATCTAACAGCACATAACCGACTGTTAATGGGGATCCAATCGATTAGTGCTGCCTCAGCCTTAGCGCTTAGTTCAACACCAACGCCAGCAAGACCAGACGAAGATGCCACAGAGTCCCCGGATAAGCGCACGTGAAACAAGCTTTTCGAAGCAACAGATGGAGAGCGAATTTGTAGTACTTCACTAGAGTCTTGAATACGGGTCTCGGATAGACAGCAAACATCAAAATTAAGACTTTCTAAAGACATAGTCAGCCCCATCTGTTGTCCGATCTGCATTAGTGTGCGAACGTTGAAGGAAGCCAGCTTGAACGGTGTACGCGGTTTCAGAAAAAACTGCTTCAGTATTCATAATCAGTGGAAGCATTCACTTTCAACCAGACAGTGACTGGAAAT